CCGACCTAAGTACTAATTCATAATTTCATATCCGGTCACATGGGCGGCAAGCCACTCCCATCCAGTCACATGGGTGACAAGCCACTCCCACAAAGGAGGCCACACCTACAGAGTAGGTTCAAACAATTTTTGAAACCCACCACTGGTAAAGTAAATTTTATCCTTCCAGGAAATGAGGGGAAGCATGGAAAATAGTAAGTCCCCTCTTCCTATTAAATAGTATAGAGTTGCCTCCAAACTCAGGCACCCTGAGTTTGGCGTGGATTTGAAAGAATGTGGCCCCTGAATTTGAGACACTTTTATTTTTGCAGCGAGGCTTCTTTGTCCAAATGAAAATATAAAACACCAAGTAATTTATGCAAAGCAAAAGTATTTATTAAGAAGAGTCAAGTTATTTTATACAGTACAGAAACAAACAATGCATACAATTAGTATATGTGATATATCAGGAAGTAATAAAAATATTGGTGACATGTGAACAATAGAAAACATTGATTCTACATAACATTCCACAAGTGGCAAAGTTATGGATTACATTACTCTTTTCCCAACTTGGTGTATATCTTTCATAAAACCTCCATGTAGGGACTTTCAGAATATGTTTCTAATATGTAGTTGCTGAAAAAGTAAGTTCTCACATATACCAAAAAAAAATGGCTTTGACTCAGAAGAGAAGTTAAAAAAGAGATCCAGACTGCCTTGTTGAAAGTGCTAATAACATTGGGGTTGTGATACTTGGGTTGTGAGCCGCCCTGAGTCCCTTCTGGGAAAAGGGCGGCATAGAAATATAATAAATTCAATTCAAATTCAATAATAACATCTTTCAATGTTAATAATGAACCTAAAATTTTAGGCAATATCATGGACACTACTTTTGCATGACATTAATGTATGTTTTTGGGATCTAGATATAAGAATAGCTGCAACTTTATTGTTGTTAGAAACTAAATAATACTCCGAGGAGATGATCATAAAATCTCTTTCTTTGGCTCTTTTCCAGATATTTTAATTTGACCAAGAATATTTTAGGTTGGTGTTGCTTAACCTCAGCAACCTTCAGATATGTCCTAAATTCCATAACCAGCATGCTAGTTGGAGAATTTTAGGAGTTGAAATCCACACATCTTAAAGTTGATGAGGTTGAGAAACACAGCTTTCAGTGCATGCTATGTTTCTGGGGAAGTGAATATTTAGACTATTTATCTCATTAGCTTTTGAAGTAACAGCTGCATGATATTAAAGAGTGTAGATGTGCTAGTAACCTAGTACTTTTCTAGGACCCAGAACCTCTCTTTGTCAAATATCACAGAATTCCCTTTACAGGAATTTTATTGAAATAAAGGCACTTAATATTTCTAAAAGATGATTGTGACTAATGAATGCCATATTTTGACCAAAATATATATGTATATGAATATATGTGTATATGCAAATATAATATTTTTTTAAAAAAATGTCTCTATCCATACACTGAGACCAAAAGGCAAGAAGGTCTGGCAGCTTTCAGTAAGATAATGAGTGGCCTTGGTTTTTTACACACTTCATTTCCCAACATGTGCTTTGCATCCTAATACTTTAATGCATGGGCCTCTCTCATTCAATCTGTTCCAACCTCGATGGTAACTAAGGCCTTCTTTTGTTCCCTGCCAGACTAATAATATGTTCCTTCTAGGTGCTACCAAAAGAATTTTCCACACACAAAACTATCAGAAGATCTGTGCATCTCCAGCTGGTCTCCTGGAGGAATACGTCCTTAAGCGGAACAGAGGCCTGTCCTCTTAAATATTTGGATGCTTTTCTCCAGTTTTCACAGTCTTGAGTTTTGGAATGGTTTATCTGAAGCGTCAAGCCATGCCAGACAGCTTTGTAGATCCTGAAAATACAAACAACAGGATTTTGTACAAAAAAAAAGGAAAGATGAAGTCTTGAGCAGATAGTGTCTTGCAGAGGGAAAGCCTAGGCACGCAAATAACCTCTGCTCTAATTTCTTATGTGCTCAGAAATGTCTCAGTAATCTTCTTCCATACGATTAAATTGTGACCATGCTGCCAAACCTATCTGGACCTCATAATTTCCTTCAGTGTTCAGTACAGGCCATGTTGTTATTCTTACAACACTCCTAAAGAGGTTAGCATTACTCCCAAATATACAGAAGGCAATAGAAATGGAAGGTGACCTTGACAGCTAGCTGTTTGCCAAGTTAGAGAAAATAACAACTCCATTCCGAAGTGCAAAAATGGAAGAGCATCCCTTGCCTGAGAAAAGTATTTATTTTTCTTAACCATATTCTTGGTTTCCACCCCCAGAAATGTAACATACACTTATTTCTCTAGTACTGCTTTTTCTACTTTGTATTGGGGACTTGTTAATTGAAGTACACGGTCCTTAAAGCTGCTGAGGTTGAGAAATACTGCCCTAAACATTAGGCATTTTCCCCTTTTGTTCTTCACTTCGGAAAAAAATGAACTATTTTCTTAAAACCCTGTCTGTAATTTTCCAAAATTATTTAGCATATAGATGCTCTTTCTATATTTTACTCACCATGTAGAGTTGGTCATGACATTCAGCCCATTGAACGCATAGATGGGATGCTCCTTGGTGTTGAAATCAGAAATTCCATGCTTAGTGAAGAGGGAATTCCAGCTCTTTGCCAATAGCTGACCCTGTAGCAAAAATGAGATTTAGAACTTTTTTACACTTGCATCTAACTGTAGCAGAAGCATGGTGCAGCAAAGTCTTTTTTTCTGCCATTTTTCATGATGCGACTTTCATTTGATGACTGAGAGTGAGATCATTAAGTTTTCCTGAATTTTTTTCTTTATTACAGGAGTATTTTCTAATTCTAACCCAAGTCTTCTATTTTTGCTGTGCAAAACTTCTGTTGGAAGCATGGCCATGAAGGGAATTGTCTCACTTTTACTGGCTAGTTTAGACAAGTGGGCATGCTTATCTCTTCTACATCTCTGAGCATTCCCCTCTGGAAGCATTCTGGTCTGGTTAATAGAGGCAACATTTTTAAAGCCAGTTTATCTCCCAGTATCTTCCAATTCTCTAAAGTTGGAGTGTGGCTTCTCACCTGGTTCTGAAAGAGGGAATGTCTTAAGTAATGAGGGACAGGCTCTATGACATGAGGCACCACAGTTCAGCAAGAGAGTTCCTTCCTGCTTCACATGTAAACTCTCCCCATCAGCCTATCATCTGCTAGACAGATACTTTCAAGTATGGATTTACTGCTTTTTGAAAGAGTGGAAATCTTATTTAAAAATGAGCTGATCTAGCAGGCAGTGGGATGGAGAGGTATTGAATTATGAAGCAGGAGAGAAGCTAAGAAAAAAAATCCTTTCTCTGCATCACGCACAAAACAATACTGCTGTTTTGAAACATCATCCCAAAACAGCTGATAGGTAATGTCCTCCTCTTTTCCCAATATTGTACAAGTCTTGCTACTGAAATGCTAGGTGACATCTTGCCGATAATAGAGCAATGATGGTGAACCTATGACAGGTGTATCAAAAGTGACGCTCCACAAAGTTTTGGGTGACATGACAATATTCATCGACACCTGACATTAATTATGCTTGAAAGCACACCCCATTCTCATGTGATTTTTGGAGGCTGTGTTCTTGTGCCTCTGAAAATCTGGCAAGAATAGGAACTAATTTTGCACAGTTTACAGAGCCCTGAAAGAGCATTCTCTGGAGCCACTTCTATAACAAAGGCCTTGTGTGATGCAGAGCTGCTTCAGGTAGGCTGCAGCGGTCTGTCAAGAGAAAGAGAACAACACCTGAAAATAAGTGGCACACAGCAGATCATGGAGATCACACACGATTGGACTGAATTTTTTTAAAAAGACGAATATGTAAAGAATTACATTTGTGTGTGTGTGTGTGAGAGAGAGAGAGACAGACAGACAGTCTGACAGATAAAATTCTAAACATGTCTGTCGCAGAGTCATGTTTAGAATTTTCCTAATTTTTGATAATGCTGAGCCCAAAAGCCTTTCTGGGATCTGCCTTGCTCTTATTGGCTCTTTAGTATGCTGTAAGCACAGCCATTCCACTTTGATTTTTGGAGGGCATTACCAGCCATTCTGTCTGGGTCAGTTGAGAGGGTAGATATCTACCATGTACCAGGAGCCTGTGAGTTCTACTATGCCTTAGGCATGAAAGCTAGCAGGGTAAGTTTGGACTAATTAATATCTCTCAGCTCAACCCATCTGACAATGTTGTTACAACATTGCCCCTGAAGAATGTTCGAAGACTGCAGTTGGTCCAGAATGCAGCCGCGCAAGCGATAGTGGGTGTACCTAGGTACACCCACGTTACACCTATCAAACAGAAAACAGAATTAAATTCTCAACAACTTCCATTTGGAAACCAGGCTTTGGACTTAGTTGGGCAACATAAACCAATCTTGATCTGCCTGCTTCTCCATAGTCCAATCCAAGAATTCAAGAGCCAATAAGAATCTGTTACTAACCTTAAGGTTAACAAGTGGCAAATTCCTGTCTGTTCTCTTCACAACTGAGATAAGGCTTTGGGAATCTCCGGACAGGAAGGCTCGGAAAGTTCCTTGCAGATTTGCTTCTTGGGCCTGCTGATAGCAATGTAGGTCCGCTCCACTAATCCCTCTCATGTTACCAGTTAAAGGGAAATTTAGTGCTATTAGGCGGAGCTGGAAATTGAAAGAAATCCAGATAAGTATCACACATGTCATTGAAGTAGAATCTAATTCAACAGAATGGACTAACTGATGCCCATCAGGTTTTATTCCTTATCGCAAAAGACCTGTTTGCATTTTAGCACTGAAGCCAAGTTCAATCATATAACCAAACAAGGACCCAAGGGGATGATAAGTAAATATTTATAAATTATACCACACATCAAATATATTGTTCCCAAGTATTCTTGGGAAATCATCAGAATTAAATGAAATCCATATACGGTAGATTTATATTTTCTGTGCTGCTACATGACTTGCTTTAAAAAAAATCCAATCCAAGACTATAGCTCTGAAGATAAATATGAAAGGTATACAAATATATTTATTTACCCTTTATTCATTTAGATAATGTTATGAACTGCCAATCAGATATTGCAATAAACATTTAATTCCCTTGAGTTTATTGATCCCAGCCTCATAGGAAGGGCAACAAAGGCAATTGGGCTACATAAACTTTATCCAAAACAAAAGCCCCCAAATATATACTACAATTTCTAAAATCTTGTAGTTAACCTGCTAACTAGAAATGTGGAGGGTGGGAGTGTATTCTTAATATTTCTAAAGGGCACTGAGTTGAAGATAACATTTAAAGCAGTTTCTGCTTTTCTGAATGGGCTATGATTGCTTGTTTTTGGAAGTTGCTGGTTGTCTATAACAAAGACCAATTTAAATTGTATCATTAGTTAGATTTTTTTTGTCCCAGAAGGTATATAAGGATTTAAAAAAAATGTGCCAATGATTTGTCTTGTTGAACTTACTGAAGGAATCCTCTGGGGGATGCTTGTTGGTGCCATTGTCGGAATTGTTATGGTTCTTTCATCAAGCTGGAACCAGAGAGAAGGATTACTACATTATTCTGTAAGGACCTTTTGATCAATTCTTTATAATAAGATGCAAACCCCAACCCCTCTCCCAATCAAACAGTCCTTAATTCTTTCACTGTTTACTGCAGTCATCAGAAAAAGCAATGGCAAGAAGAGGCAGAAGCTAAAAGATTATTTTACTTAGTCTGTCTCACTTTAATATCACTGTCATGGATAATCACTATCACACTGGATGACAATCAGAATGAATCAAAATAATTGATTTATTTTCTGTTTGGGAAAGAAAATGCTGGGGGAGCAAGAATAATGATCCCAGCACCCAATGAGTTTGATAGTAGAAAGTCCTCCTGTCACTGGATCACTCTCCTTTCATTTATACCTGCTCACTTTAAATAGAAAATCACACTAATTTTAACAGCACACATGCTTTTAATGACCATCTATTACTGTATATGCAGCGTTTCTTTGGCATGCCATTCAATACCCCACATATGAAAACAAATTGTAGGTTGTGCTGAGAAACCTCACTGAGCCTTTATATTAAAAAGGCTTTTGCAGGAGTTGGTATTAGAAATTGGTCACAATTACTGTATTATAAATAGGAAATGAAATTATTGCAGGAAAATAAAATACAGTTTGTAGATATCTTCAATGTGTGCAGTTATCAAGCAGGGAAACAAAAGGATGTTCATTTTTTGTTTTTGGTCCTCAATTTTTCAATCCAAGGAATTAGAATATTCAGTATTATTTTTTTTAACTCTTCATGAAATGTTGCCATCACAAATTAGTTATGCAAATATGACACATACAATATGTTTTGAAAACATATTTCTTAGGTTTTGGTTTTGCCAGTGTATCTGGGGACGTCATTCAGAGCCAATGAAGTGGCTTATTTGATTCTGGATGAAGGCTGGGGTTGTGTGGATTTTCAAATTCACAATTCAAAGTTGTGATTTATTTTTATTTTTATTTTTAATGTTGTATGGTGCCTGGAGTCATTGTGTGTGAGTTGGGTATATATAAGTATATTTAATTAATAAATATCCTTTCCTGCCATTTAATTCTTTTCTCAGTACTCAGCTCTGAGAATCTAGAGGATAATATGGAGGAAGTTCAGTCATTATTGGATCTTAAGGAGAGCTGAATAGCTACCCCAAAGGATTTTATTAAATGTATGTGATCCTTCAATAAATCAGAAGACATGCCCCAACTTGTTGTATCACATAATCTTATGATTTATTATTATTATTTTTACTGAAAATATTGGGCAAAGTTTCCTCAAAACAACTTACAAAGTCATGTTTTAAGATAAACTAACTACAAAAATCACACAGTAAATATTTGCATATATCCCTTTACCATTATGAAATGTTCTTCTCAAAGATGTCATTTAAATGGCCCTGTGCAAAGTTTGGAAGCCATTTTTCACCATTATTGTACCAAAGCAAGCTCCTTAAATACTGTACCAATTTAACAATACTATTGTGCAAGCACTGACATGGCATAAAATGCTGGAAAAAATTCTCACCTGTTTATTTACCATAGGCACCAAAGGGTCATCAGCTGCAAATTGAAATGCGGAATCCTCCATCTAGTCAAGGAAACACATACAGTACAGGAAAAGAAGTATAAAATTTAGCAGTGTTGCCACACAGTTCAAATAAGCAAGCCAAGATCCATCATCAAAATCTAATGACTGAGAAATTCAATAGCTAATCTGCCTTGCAAAAAAAAAAAACGAAAACAGTGCTTTTCAATTTATATTATGGAATAAGAAGTCAGCTATATTAGGCGATCTAGTTCAGTTTTCTGTAAGCCATAATTCTAACCAGGTATCTGAATAGGAAAGAAAGCAAATCTAATCATGCAATTCCATAATCTTTTAAAACCAGTACCAAATTCTACCCTAATTAAAGGGATTATTACAATGGCTCCCACCACAATTTTTTTCCATCCTTTGGGGGTCTTGAAGAAAGCTTCATCGTCTTCAGTGATGTAGACCAAACTGCCTTGAGGAATGGAAGAAGCGGATTTCAGCATGAGCTCTTTTGAACTGAAGGTCCAGGTGGGGTGCTGAAAAGAGAGAAGAAAATATATTGTACCCCATCTCTTTGTAATTGGTGGAAACTAATGAAGGAGAGAAGCAACTTAGAGAAATAAGGAGAAATTTCCTGACAGTTAGAACAATTAATGAGCGGAACGATTTGCCTCCAGAAGTTGTGAATGCTCGAATCCTGGACGTTTTTAAGAAGATGTTGGATAACCATTTATCTGAAGTAGTGTAGGGTTTCCTGTCTGAGCAGGGGGTTGAACTAGAAAACCTCTAAGGTCTCTTCCAACTCTTGTTATTCTATTCTATTCTATTCTATTCTATTCTATTCTATTCCACTCTACTCTAATTCAATTCTAATTCTACTCTATTCTAATTCTATTCTTTTAATAAAAATATCACTGGATCATGTTTAGCTTGTAGTGGGAAAAATTTGTAAACATTTTTGGATTAGCAGGTCAGTTTGTAATTCCTAAAATTTACAACAGCTATCTGATTTGCAAACATTATTATAGCCACCACCTTGGACAGCTATAGATTTCTTTTATAGAAAATCATTATTTTGTAATGAAAACAATATAAGCACCCCTAACAAAATATGTATGTGTGTGTGTCTGTGTGTGTCTGTGTGTCTGTGTATCTACGTATTTGTCTTAAATGCATAATACAAAGGCTATTCAAAAAGTACTAATTTACTTTTACAATTAAAAAGCAAAATGTGTGCCTTAAGCCATCTATTTTCTGTAGCCTTTATCCAGCATCTTATTTTTTAAAAAAGAGACAAAACAAATGGATAATAAATACTTGTGACTGCTTCCCCCGTGATATCTATGTATCATACCCAAACTTCAATACAGCTTCCAGAAGCCAGATTTAAAAATAAATAAATCTGTAAATATTTGCCTATCTATGCCCTTACTTTGGGAGAGAAAACAAAATGGAGACACACACCTTATATCCATTCTGGCTTTTGTCAGGAGAATCCTTCATAGGTTGTTCCATATCTGTACAAGAAAAGCAAGTTTGAATGAATCTCAGAATATGAATATTTTCCTCTATGTGAATTAAGAATTTGCTTATTTCCTATCCTGCAGATGCCAAACATGTCCTAAACACTAAACCCATGCCAAGCTAGAACAGGTTTTGCAAGGGCAGGAGGTACCTCAGATTTCCCCACAAATGAAGGATAGCAACATTTCCCTTTAACATCCTGCCAAAGCCACATCAGATTCCCCTCCTTTGCACATGTTCTTCTGTTCTTTTGTTGTACTGGTAGTCCTCAGTTTATGACTCCAGTAGGGACTGAAGCAGAGATGGTATTCAGCAGTTTCTGACCAGTTCTGGAAATTTTGAGTAGTCTGGAGAACTGGTAAATACCATCTCTGGCTGGCCCCGCCCCATCTATTATTTGCCTCCCGAGTCCCAGCTGATTGGGAGGAAATAGGATTTTGCAGTAACCTTCCCCTGCCATGCCCACCAAGCTACGCCCACAGAATTGGTAGTAAATCTTTTTTGAATCCCATCACTGGACTGGTGTAACCATCACTAAGCAGTGCAGTTGTTAAGTGAAACATCACGCGACTGCACCTGATTTCACGTCCTATTTGCTATTGTAATTAAGGAAATTACTATAGTCATTAAAGAGATATCACATGATTGCGACTTGCGACCTTCTGGCGTCCCCATTGACTTTGCTTGTCAGAAGCCAATTGGGAAGATTGTAGGTGGTGATCATGTGACTGTAGGACGCTATGAACACTGTAAGGATGTGAATTGCAGTCACATGGCTCAGGGGATACTGAGATGTTAATGAATGTGAGGACTGTTTGTAAGTCACTTTTTCAATGCCACAATAATAAATTAAATGGTTGCTAAATAAGTAAGAAAAGGACTACCTATAAATTGACAATTCAGCTATGAACCATAGCTATAGTAGGCTGCATAGCCAGAGAAAACATCAAGTTGAACATGCCTAAAGATTGCAGGATTGATAGGATTGCCCACAGATTAGGAAAAAACTAAGAAATTAATGCAAGGGAATGATTTGCACAATAAAAAAATATTGCATATGTTTTTGTTTCCACTACAAAGAGGAATAAGATAATACCTGAATCAAAACATGGATCCTGGTTCACCTGAAAGAAATAAGAAAAGAGACAGATGCCATTTAATGGGGAAATGCTCCTAATTTTGAAATATTATGAACACATCTTTTTATTTCACGAAACTTTTAATAGTTAATTATTATACTAATTTTATATGTTAATTTTAAGATATTAATTTGTTTGTATTTTTATTGTAAGTTGCCTAGACTACTATAATAAGCAGAAAGGTGAAAATTACTTTCAGTAATGAAAAACTGAAGGTATTAGTCAAGATACACATACAGACACATGCATGCGCACGCACACACACACACATGTTTATAACAATACTTTTTCAGTTTTCAGTGCAGGGTTGGAACTATTGATTAGTTTGCTTTTCCCATTGTCCCTTGTATGCAGGTAGAAATTCTTGGAATTTAGGATCAGCAGAATTAATTTTTACAAAGAACCAGCCTTCCTTATTTATTTTGGCTGTTGTAACTTCGTTTGCTTGCAAAACGGAGTTTAAAGATATCTTTTTTTTGTAAATGCCTTTTCTACCTCAAAGGAATCCTGGGACAGCAAGGAAAAGCCCATGCCATACCATGCCAATCATAATTCCAGGTACTGCAAGTAACGTAAAAAATCAACTGAGAAATGGTATGAGAGTTCGGAAAGCAGGATTGTTGGGCAGCCAACTAGTTTGGCACAGCAATAGGAAGGCCTAAGTTTTCTTGCCATATTTGGTTTTATTCTAAACTTTTCTCTATCCTCCCAAGTAGCTCCTTGGTGAAACAGGTGAAACATAGACTTGGCAAAAGAAAATCATCAGCTGACATGACTTTAGGATAACTTCAGATTAAGATTTATATTACGCATTGAATTATCTAAGGGATTGGAATGGGAATACAGACAATATCACTTTGTGTAGCCACAGAAAACCCTTTAAGGAGAGGTAAATGGAAGAACTGCTCACTATCATTTGGATAGGTAGAACTAGTCATCTACCTGGAAGCATCTCAATGCTCTGTCAAAGCTGTCACCTCCAAATCAACTGTTTTTGCTTGAGAGTTCTATACAGAGAGCTTTCTTAATGGTTGCCTCTCAAATAGCATAGGGCTTCTTTAATAAACAATTTACTGGGGAAACTATAGAGTACCTGTCTTTGCATGATGTGACTATAAAGAGGCAATCTTATGACTTAGTCAACTCACCGGCTGCTTGCAATGTGGCCTGGGTCGGACTGGGTACACTCTCTGGAAGGATATTATAAAGCATATAGATAAAGAGGAAGATGTTTTCGCCCTCCCCTCCATCCCAATTTCCTTCTCTGAGCAAGAAAGACATTCCCATTTCCTAAAGGATTAATTAACTTCCTATTTCATTTTAATTTTGACTTTGAGCTGGTAGGAGTTTAGTCATTCTGATAAAGTCTGAGTAACAAATTTATTTTGCCTTTTAAATATTATATATCATTTAAGAGGAATGATAATCTATTCTTTCATTATACTCATGAAGATCAATGCCATCAGATGGGGGTTCAAATCCTCAAAGGCAAAAAAAGTGTTTGGCTTTTTTAATATTCCTATTATTATAATTCCTATTCCTATTATAATAATTCCTATTATTCATCCTTCATGGGATTAGTCTTCTCCTATGAAAGGTACTACTTGATTCCCAAACTGGATAATAAACATGGATTCCATAGTGAACAAAAACAGACATAAATGAGCTAAGAGCAGTCAAGGAAGGGGCATTTCTTCCTTATTTGCTCCTTATGTGCCATAATGGTCTCCAGTTTCAAAAGAGGCCAGTGTTCCTTAACAGCAACCAATATTAAGAATTATACATAACATTTATGCAAAATATCTAAAAAGCTGGATTTCTAGTTTTCAAAATAATAGAGTTGGAAGGAACTTTGGAGGTCTTCTAGCCCAACCCTTTGCTCAAGCAGGAAACCCTATACCATTTCAAACAAATAGTTCTGGAGGCAAGTCGTTCCACTGATTCCTTTCTGTAAAATGCTTGACTTCCCCTCTGCCCGTAATACTACAGGATACAATGAGTGGGCTCACATGATAAGACATTGATGTGTATTTTAGGGCTGGGTTGCTGCCGGTTTTACTACTGGTCTGCTTCGCGCGCATTTTGCATGCGCATGCTCGCTTCACTCGCATGCATGTGCATGTGCAGAACAATTTACAGTGAACTGCGCACAGGCAGTCACCACAAAACAACATGGCAGTGACATCAGCGGTGGCAAGGGAACCAGTTTAGGGGCATGGAAAGCCTGGGTCGCTTCCGGTTCTGTGACCCAGGCAAAAAAACCACTACCAGTTCGGCTGAAGCGGGCTGAACTGGGATCAACCCACCTCTGGTGTATTTGTTTTGCTTTGAGAGAGGATCCCCATAATAGTGTGTTTCTCAACCTCAGCAACTTTAAGATATGTGGACTTCAATTCTCCATCATGCCCACTGGGGAATTCAGGGAGCTGAAGTCCACACATTGTAAAATTCAGGAACACTGCCATATTGAGTTGCAATGTTTTCGACAGTCATCTAAGTACTATGAGTTAGTAACACAAATTAGTAGCGATGGGAGAAGCTTTTATTCCTTCATTGGTATCTGAGATTCTATGACACTAGAAGATTTTATAAATCACAAAGGGGTGGAAGTGGAGTAAGGATCCTTCTATACTCACAGAATTTTAAAAAGTATCAGGTATTCCTGTGTTTGCAGTTTAGTCCTGCAACATACCATCATTCTATTCCAGAGAAAATCCATCAAAAAGAAAAAGACAGAAAAATGGAGTGTTGGCAGAATTAAATAGGAGAGTTAACTTACATTTATATAAAGTACACCGGGTGGTCCAGGGGGGCCTGGAGGGCCGGGGAGGCCTGGAGGTCCCTGGAAGAGATAACAGTATTACTTTGCCTATTTTGAAATTCAGTTTTACAGAGATTGATAATTTCCTGCAAGTAATTCCTATATGTGAATGAATTTTACGTGGCAGATCCATAGATACCAATGTTGTACCACAATATGAATTGTAAAAGCGTTCTGCATGTACAATATGAGAGCATGTACGGCTAATTCAGACATGGAATTTTCTTTGAGGAAAAAGTTAGGATGGGATATAAGACATCCCAAAGTCCAAAAAACAACACTTTTTTTTTTTGCGGGATCAAACTGAAACAAAACTAGGAACTTTGCAAGTAATGATAAACTGGATGTGACTTACGTGGTTGGGACCACGTGCCTCTAGATCTTCTTTGAATTTCTGGAACAGAGAGAGAGAGAAAAGGAAGTAAACTGACTAATCATCTATACTGACACATTGCATCTGCCTACACTGTATTCACTTAAACTATTCCTTAAACTATTTTTTTATACTGATGGAAAAAACTCCAACTAACAAATATATAGGTAGTCCTTGACTTACCACCTTTCATTTAGTGACCATTCAAAGTTACAGCAGTTACACTGAAAAAAGTGACTTATCTCCATTTTCACACGTACAACCATTGTGGCATCCCCATGTTCACATGATCAAAATTTGGACGCTTGGCAACTGGTTGGTATTTACTGTATAATAGTTGCATTGTCCTGGGATCACATGATCCCTTTTTACGACCTTCTGCTAAGTAACATCAATGAGGAAGCCAGATTCACTTAACAGCTGTGTTGCTAACTTACAAATGGCAGTGATTCATTTAACAACTGTGGCAAAAAAAGTCATAAAATGGGGCAAAGTTCACTTATGGTCATAAGTCAAGGACTACCTGTCCTGTATAGAGGTTTACCCCCCCTGAAATGGGTATCTATGGGCAACCAAAGAGGTTTAAATCCACTATGTAATTAGAAGAAATCCACTTGAATTGAGAGAAGCAGAAAAAGGGAAAACATGCTAAACTGTTTCTAATTAAAAGAGTGTAGCTGTGAGAAGTCTATGCAGTGGTGAAATTCAAATTTCTTTACTACCAGTTCTATGGGTGTGGCTTGGTGGGGCCGTGGCAGGGGAAGGATACTGCAAAATCTCAATTCCCACCCCACTCGGGAACCAGTCAGAGGTGGTACTTGCCAGTTCTCCGAACTACTCAAAAATCCCGCTGCCAGTTCTCCAGAACCTGAGTCTATGTTAAAAGAACTCTTGGAGAACCAATGTCCTGGTTTTGGTATTTGCAAATGGAGCAAATAATGCAGTGGTGGGTTTCAAATTTTTTTAGAACCTCTTCTGTAGGTGTGGCCTGCTTTGTGGGAATGGTTTGCCGTCCATGTGACTGGGTGGGAGTGACTTACAAGCCATGTGACTGAGTGGGAGTGGCTTGGCAGTCATGTGATGGTGGGCATGGCTAATTTGTAAAATATGGTGAAACTCACTTAACAATGCTCTTGCTTAGCAACCAAAATGTTGGCTCAGAAATTCTGGCATTTGAAACACGCAAGTCTTAAAGCTGTCAAGTTACAAGACCCTTGCAGTCCTAACCCTTTAGAAAAATAACCCCCAGGGGTGTTCAAACTTGACAGCTTTAAGACTTGTGGACTTCAACTGCCAGAATTCCTCCTCCAGTCATGTTGGCTCAGGAACTCTGGCATTGAAGTGTGCAAGTCTTAAAGCTGTCAAGTTACAAGACCCTTGCACCCCTAACCCTTTAGAAAAAAACCCCCAGGGATGTTCAAACTTGACAGCTTTAAGACTTTAAGGCTTAGATAGGACTCTTAGAGGCGGGAGGGGTGATTGGTGAGCCAGCCAATCAGTAAGCGGTGGGCGGGGCAAGCATGGTGCCCCGCCCAACCATCTGCACCATGCGGGGGGTGGTGCAGATGGTTGCGGGGGAGGGAGCTGGAACTGGTTCTAAATGGCACAGTAGATTTGTGGAATCTCTTCTATAAAAGAGGTTAGAACTGGCAGGAACCCACACCTGAAATAATTAAATGACCCACGAAAACCTACAAGTTCTTTCCTCTGAGACAAATCAAATTATATTGAATCTTTGAATTTTTCTCCATGAGGTAAAGTGGATAATTTGCCAAGGCCATCTTGGAATGAAATTTCTGCCCAGCAGTTTTCCAGATTTTCCTAGACCAGTGATGGCGAACCTTTTGTGGCTTGCGTGTCAAAAGCAGGGGGAACGCAGGGGTGGTGGTGTCGTGTGAGAGCGTGCTACACCCATAATGCTATTTTCACAACCTCAGCGTGCATGCACGCATGTCCAGTGCTCCCCCCCCCATTTTTGGCATGTTTTTTTCGCCTTCCCAGGCTCCAGAGTTTTTATAGGAGCCTGGAGAGGGCAAAAACAGCCTCCCTTGTCCCCCTGGAGGCGTCAGGAGCTTCCCTGAAGCCTTCGAAGCATGAAAAACTAGCCCTATGGGAAAACCGGAAATTCAGGAATGGACTTCCAGTTTGCTCGTAGAGTCAGTTTTAGCTCTCCGGAGCCTTCAGGGGCCTTCCGGAAGCTTCCCTTAAGGCTCCAGAGGGCACAAAATGACCCTATGAGCAAACCAGAAGTGACTTCTGGTTTGTCCGTAGGGCCGGTTTTAGCCCTCCGGAGTGTTTAGGGACCTTCTGGAGGCCTACCTGAAGGCTCCAGAGGGCAAAAACCAACTCTACAAGCAACCCGGAAGTGACTTCCAGTTTGATCATAGGGTCGTTTTTTTGCCCTCTGGAGCCTTCAGGGAAGCCTCCTGAAGGCTCCGGAGGGCTAAAACCAGCCCTACGAAAAATGGGGCAAAAAATGGCCTCAAAAGAAGGCTAGCTGTCATGGCAATGCATCGTGTGCCCTGACAAATGGCTCCATGTGCCACTTCTGGCACGCATGCCATAGGTTCGCCATCATGGCTGATATTTCAGAATGGGAGGAAGGGAGAAAAAAGTTACATTGTTTGGAAGTGAGCATGGCCCTTGTGGCTGTGGCCTAGTCAGCCTCCTGCACCACGGCAAGGGGGAGGATTGCCTTCCCTGAGCTTCCGTGTGTGCCTGCACTTACCTGCATCCAAAATGGGCTGTGTGGGGACTCCTGGGAGGGGAGGGTTGGGTGGGGCCAGCCAGGAGTGGGATTCGGGGGTTCTCCAAACTGTACAGAATCTTAGCTAGAGATTATCCCAAACCCCAGCAAACCCCAATAACCCACCCCTACTCTCCCAGACCAATTAAACAGGGATTATACACCTCTCTAACATACCTTTTGGTAGATCAAGGCTATCCAAGAATCAATGTCACTTCTTGCATCCTTGGAGCAACTGCTAGAGTCCTGTGGGAAAATAAGCCTTTTTAAGCCTTCTAGAGAATTTTAAAGTAAAATAAAAAATAATTTATTTTCCATCAATGAGCATTGAAGGATGGGATACTGTTTTCTATGACTACGCACCACTTTTCCTGGTTCTCCTTTTTCACCCTGCAAAGAAATCAAACAAACAAACAAACAAAATCAGGTAGTAGGATTGCAAATTCTTGGTTTTGCCTTCTTGAAAGCAAGCTTTTAAGTAAGCAGGATAGGACAGCGGTATTTGGAGGTGGAAGAACTGATCTGTTCACTACAAAATGACATTTGTAGTAGTAGTTAGAGAGTCGTGACATGGATGACATTTTAAAAACTGGAATGCATCCAGATTTTTGCTCTCCATATGAATTCTTACCTTTGAGAAGATCATTATTCTTATTAGTTCAGTGAGTATTTCTCCATGGTAAAAGCTCATTTAACTCTGGGGGGGGAGGGGTTTCAAACAATGCTTGCTATGCCATCATTGCTATTTTGCTGTAAATCTCTAGCAGCCTTGAAATAGACTTTCTGTATGGATGGGATGGGAGGACATCCTAGATGTTCTTGATTGAAATTTCCCAGCAGCTCCAACCAGCTAGGCCAGTGATGAAGGATGCTGAGAACTGCAATACCTGGACTGCCTTGGAAATTGTCTATCTATGGCTGTTGAATTTGTTCTGGGCGAGAAAAAAAATATCTAAATTTGATTAATTAAAATGAAATCCAGTAGGTTAACAGGATTTCTCTTTGTATGTTCAATCACATAAGAAATTATAATTTGTTATATATGACTAGTGGTTTAAGGAAAGTCTCGAAGAGTTACAGGGTAGTCTTCAACTTACAACTATAATGGAACATCAGGATTGTCAAAGTGACTGGCTAACTTTACAATTTTTGTGTGTGTGTCAGTCTTTAAGAGAACATGGCAGTTGAAAAGTGACTGCTGCAGTCTTTAAATGAACACTGCAGTCGTTAAGCGAACCAATGGTTTCTTATGGGAACGATTTTTGCTGACAAGTGGAAGAAAATGATAGTTTTTGGCAAAAGTGTTGTAAAACATAGTCACATTACTTCAGGATTCTGCAAAGTGCTGTAAACACAGCTTGGTTGCCGAGTCCCAAAGTTTGGTCATGTAACTATGAGGGGGGGGGGGGTGTATGTGTGTTGGGTGTCAGAACTTCAAATCTGGGAAATAAATAGCCCCAAGTAGGTAGGCCTATTGTAACTTTGAACAGTTGTGAAATGACTGGTTGTAAGTTGAGGACTACAAATACCGAAGCTTTAAAGTGTTATTGGAACTATTGAGATTGCAGCTTGCACTCCTGTTCTCTAGGAGGTTGGAATCCAATGCTCACGTTATGACTTGTAGGCCAGCTAGAAGGCAGCCAGCAGCCATAGGGTATGGTTAAGATCACTACTCACCTTAGGGCCAGGAGGTCCTTGAACACTGACTTCAGAATTATACTAGAAAGAACAAGAGAGAGATCAGTGCAGGCCATAGGAATCCCCCCTCCCCCCATTATCAGTGTGTGCAGCAGTGATGTGCGGTATGGTTTATGGCTGGTGAGGCAAAAAGAAAGAAAGCGGCTTTTGCCTACTCCGCAGCTATGTCCGAAATAGAGGCGTCCCGTGCCCTGCAGCTATGTCTGACTCAGCTGTGGGGCGCGGGACGCCTCTATGTCAGGCAGAAGCGGCGGGG